GTCTCGTCCCGCGTCGCCTGTTCGTGCTGCTCGCGCTAGTGGTCGCAGTTCGCGTCAGCGTCCTCCTCCTGTCCCTGGCACGCACCGGATGTCTCTGCGTCCGTCCACTGCTCCTCTGCGTGCCCCTTTGCCTTCTCCTCCTGAGTCCTCTCTTCCTGCGCTTGCGGACCATGAGTCGGACTCTCTTTGTGCTGCCAGTCCCACTGTCACGCGTCTGCTTGCTACTGTCGTCACTGACCCCTCTTTTGAGTCCACTGCTGCGTCTGCTCTAGTCGCTGAGCTCGTCGACTTTGCTGCTCGCTGTCGTCTCGACTACGCTGCTAGTCTTGTTGCTGAGTCTGCGTCTGTCTGTCCTCCGTCCGTCGGGGGTGAGTGTGCTCTTGGCACGGACGTCCTAGAGGACAGGCAGGAGGAGTTACAGTGTCTAGCGGCTGCTTCACCTCATCTCGCGTCTGTACTGCTTGCCCCTGAGGGAGACCCGGATGCACTAGACATCCCGACTCCGCGTTCTTACGCGGAGGCCGTAGAGGGTCCCTACTCCTCTCAGTGGCAGGCAGCTATGGATGCAGAGATGGCTTCCTGGAAGTCCACAGGCACCTACGTTGACGCGGTTCCCCCTCCTGGGGCGAACATCGTCAGTGGCATGTGGATCTTCAGGGTGAAGCGGCCGCCGGGCTCTCCACCTGTCTTCAAGGCACGGTACGTTGCTCGTGGCTTCAGTCAGCGGCAGGGAGTTGACTACTTTCAGACCTTCTCTCCCACCCCGAAGATGACTACTCTTCGGGTGCTGCTGCACATAGCCGCTCAGCGCGACTACGAGCTTCACTCTCTCGACTTCAGCACTGCGTTCTTGCAGGGTAGCCTGCACGAGGAGATCTGGCTTCGCCGTCCACCTGGCTTCACTGGGACTTTCCCTCCTGGCACCCAGTGGAGCCTCCGACGGCCAGTCTACGGTCTCCGCCAGGCACCGCGTGAGTGGCACGACACACTGAGGACTACGCTTGCGGCTCTTGGGTTTGCTCCTTCTACTACTGACCCGTCGCTGTTTCTTCGCACCGACACTTCCCTGCCGCCGTTCTACATCCTCGTGTACGTCGACGACCTGGTCTTTGCCACAGCGGACACTGCTGGACTCGCCTACGTGAAGTCCGAGCTGTTGAAGAGACACACGTGCACAGACTTGGGTGAACTGCGCAGCTACCTTGGCTTGCAGATCACTCGGGACAGAGCACGCCGCACCATTACCTTGACTCAGTCACATATGGTGCAGCAGGTCCTTCAGCGCTTCGGCTTCACGTACTCCTCGCCTCAGGCCACTCCTCTGCCTACTCGCCACTCACTCTCAGCTCTGCCTTCGGATGAGTCCGTAGAGTCGAGTGGTCCGTATGCGGAGCTTGTTGGCTGCCTCATGTACCTGATGACCTGCACACGACCTGACCTTGCATACCCTCTGAGCATTCTTGCACGCTATGTTGCTCCTGGGAGACACAGACCGGAGCACATGGCTGCAGCGAAGAGGGTATTGCGCTACCTGTGCAGTACGTCAGGCATGGGGCTAGTGCTTGGAGGGCGGAGTCCAGTGGTCCTTACCGGCCACGCGGACGCTTCTTGGGCTGACGACCAGGCTACGCAGCGGTCGTCACAGGGTTACACCTTCAGCCTTGGTTCCGGCTCTGTCTCGTGGCGGTCTACTCGCTCGTCTTCGGTTCTCGGCTCCAGTTGTGAGGCTGAGATCTACGCCGGGGCCATGGCTGCACAGGAGCTTCGCTGGCTCACCTACCTGCTGACTGACCTTGGAGAGCCGCCTCGTTCTCCTCCAGTGCTGTACGTAGACAACAAGGCTATGCTGGCCTTGTGTCGAGAGCAGCGCTTGGAGCACAGAACGAAGCACATTGCTCTCCGCTACTTCCTTGCTCGTGAGCTGCAGCAGCGTGGTCAGTTGCGACTTGCGTACGTGGCCTCTGAGGCCAACACTGCTGATGTGTTCACTAAGGCACTTGCGCCTTGTGACCATCAGCGCTTCTGCACCCAGCTGGGTCTTGTGCCTGTCTTGCCTCACTTGCTCTCCTCTTGACTTCACTTGTACTGTGACATATATATATACCTGCTCTTGCTTGTCTAGCTTTATATATATGTCTGTACTCTTGCTTGTGAACTGGCCTTTGGCCTTGCTCTTTTGCTCGGACTGTGTGGTGACTTTGTGATCCACCCTGAGCTTTGCTTTGTCTTGCTTGACTGGTCTTGTGACCCCTTGTTCTCCCCCACTTTGCCTATGGGGGTGTGTCAGAACATATCTATAGCTTATACTGCTGTGTAGGCTGTAGTGGGGTATCCCATAGGGGGTACAACCCAGTTAGGGTTTCATATTTGTACTGCTTTCGTTCATAGTTCATTCATTCCTGTTTTCCTATTGTCACAATCCATGCCTCACGGCCCCGTCGCCGAGGCTAACACCTGACCTCTGCGCCCGTACGCTTCTCTACCACCCCTTTTTGCTTGATTGCAACAAGACTTTATTCTCTCCCTCGCAAGGGCTCCGTCAATTTGCCTGAGCTTCTCTTAACTGCTTGCCTTCTCGGCTAAGGAAACAAAGAGCGAATAGCGGCAGGCAAATTGCGGTATCGAGAGAAACAAACAAGCAAAAGGCGAGAAACCAGAGTGCTAACCCCGACAACATTCTTCCCTTTCCTGCCTAGCTTCCTTCCTCCACGCGCTAGCTCTAGTGCCAAGCGCTCGTGATGGCTCCTATGTGCCGGCTGGGTCCCACTAGGCCCACTGGGCATGCACTGACTTCTAGCTGGAATCAAATTCTAGGCTTGGAATCAAATGCGCGGCTGGAATCGCATTCCCAACTTGAGATCGTCTTCCCAGATCGAATTGAATTCACCCCTCCGCACCAACATCTTCATATTTCCCCAGCACTCGGTTCTGTAAAGCGTAAATACAGTGTGAAGATTGTAAACTGAACGATTTACTTCATTAGGGAACAAGAGGGCATACATAGGATGCAAGAGGAGCTTGGAAGGGAACGGGGAAAGTTGGGTGGTTGGGTAGTCCATATGGCAACTTGTAAGGAGGGGGCACCCAGCTTGCAACAAGGACCATGTGGGTTGCAAGGAGGGGGCACCCAACTTGTGGGTTGCAAAGAGGGGGTACCCAACTTGCACTTGGGGGCTCCAACATTTGTGGGTTGGATTGGCACCCCAACTTGCAAGTTTACACCCCAAAGTTGGTTGTAGATCTACAAAGCAAGCTACACCCAAACTTGGGTGTAGACCCAACCTCTTTATTACTTAGCATGCTATACATACATTTCTAACAAACCCTTAGCATGCGAAGACAAGAAGGTGACAACCCTCGAATCAAGGGGCGAGCAAGGCTGATGAGGCGGAGGAGAGCAGAGTGTGCAGGGCGAAGGAGGGCCTTGGTGAAGATGTCGACCAAGTTGGCCTCAGCAGCAATCTTGCGCACTGCAAGAAGGCTGTGCTGGACAAGCTCGCGCACCTTCTTGTGGCGAGGTTAGGGCGGGTGCACATCATAGCATACGTCAACGACCCAACGAGCTCAGCATAGGGGCGAGTGGAGGAGGACGGAGAAGTGGGTGGGGCAAGCTGGTGGCCAAAAGGGAGGGGGGTGGCCATGGGACTGGCCTGCGCCATCTCGAACTTCTCTAAGACCTGGCCGATGTAATGGACTGGGAGCGGGTGATGGTGCGAGCAGGACGGTCCTGAGTGATAGCCATGCCCAGGTAGTGCGGGAGGTCGCCTAGGTCCTTGCACTTGATCCATATCAGCCTTGAAGTCAGCGAGCAGGATCATGTCATCCACATACAATAGAATGAAGAAGCGGCGAGGTGAGGAGCGAAGGACGAGACTGGCGTCAGAATGCAAGGCAGAGAAGTCGAGGGACCCCAGGGTGGCAGACAGCTTCGCGTGCCACTCCCTTGGCACCTGCTTCAACACGTAGACAGGTCGATGAAGCTGCCACACAGTGTTCTCTGGGAAGGTCGACGCAGCTGCCACATAGTGTTCTCTGGGAAGGTTGACGCAGCTGCCACACACTGTTCTCTGGGAAGGCGGCGTGAAACCCGAAGGGGCGTCGGAGGAAGATGCGCTCATGCAGGTCCCCCTGCAGGAACGCGTTGGAGACGTCCATGGAGCAGATCTCCATATTGTCGCACACACCAACGTTGAGGAGGGTGCGAAGGGTGGGCGGCTTGGCGGTGGGGGCGTAGGAGAATGGTGTCAGAATATATCTTATATATATGTCTGTATAAGTGCATGTAGTTCTAGCTGTAGAGTAGTTACCTAGTGTTTTGTGTGGTGGTGCACCACTCCTTGCTGGTTCTCTTCTATTTGTACCTGCTCTTCCATAGTCAAACCATCTCATTCTCTCTTCTTCTTGGCACAACCCTAAAGTTCCTCCTTGGCCTAGGCTACTAAGCCTAGGCCCTAACAAAACCCTAGCCATCACTTCTGCCTACTATTTCAACATGGAATCAGAGCTGTTACGCTCTTGGCCTATGGGCCCACCTAAAGCTTCCGCTGCATTCCTGTCTGTCGCGCGCCCCGTGGCGCGCGACGCTTTTTCTTCCCGCCATGCGCTCCTGGCGCATGGCCGTTTTCTGCCCGCCACGTGCTCGGGGCACGTGACGATTTCTCGCCTGTCCCTGTCGACCTGCGCACGGCTCCCCGTCGCCCTTCGCGGCGGCCCCGTCGACCCGCGCGCGACTCCTCGTCGCCCTTCGCGGCGGCCCCGTCGACCTGCGCGCAGCTCCCCGTCGCCCTTCGCAGCGGCCCCGTCGACCCGCGTGCGGCTCCCCGTCGCCCTTCGCGGCGGCCCCGTAGACCCGCGCGCCGCCCCCGGGGATCCGTGCGCTCGTCCCAGTCGGCCCGCGCGTCACCGTGCGGCCCCCCTCCCTGCACACCTGAGTTCACTTTCCACGCACCCGAGCTCGCTTTCCGCGCACCCGAGTTCGCTTTCCGCACACCTGAGTTTGCTTACTGCACACTCAGAGTATGGGGGTGACGGGTATGGGGGTGGCGGGTCTGCAGCAGCCGCCCCTGGCGCAGCCGCCCCTGGCCCCTGGAGCAGCCGCCCCTGGCCTCTGGAGCAGCCGCCCCTGCAGCAGCCGCCCCTGGTGCAACCTCCACTGGAGCCGCCGCCCCTGGTGCAGCCGCCCCTGGAGCAGCCGCCCCTGGTGCAGCCGCCCCTGAACCTGAGCAGCCGCCCCTGGTGCAGCTGCCCTTGGACCCCGCGACGCCGCCCCTGTACCAGCCGCCTCCGTCCTGTCCGCGCCTGCCCTCGTGCAGCCGCCCTGTCTCGCCCGCGCCCTCGTGCAGCCGCCGTGTCTCGCCCGCGCCCTCGTGCGCCCCTGCTGCTGCCCGCGCCCTCGTGCGCCCTGCTGCTGCCCGCGCCCTCGTGCGCCCTGCTGCTGCCCGCGCCCCTCGTGCGCCCTGCTGCTGCCCGCGCCCTCGTGCGCCCTGCTGCTGCCCGCGCCCTCGTGCGCCCCTGCTGCTGCCCGCGCCCTCGTGCGCCCTGCTGCTGCCCGCGCCCTCGTGCGCCCTGCTGCTGCCCGCGCCCTCGTGCGCCCTGCTGCTGCCCGCGCCCTCGTGCGCCCTGCTGCTGCCCGCGCCCTCGTGCGCCCTGCTGCTGCCCGCGCCCTCGTGCGCCCTGCTGCTGCCCGCGCCCTCGTGCGCCCTGCTGCTGCCCGCGCCCTCGTGCGCCCTGCTGCTGCCCGCGCCCTCGTGCGCCCTGCTGCTGCCCCGCGCCCTCGTGCGCCCTGCTGCTGCCCGCGCCCTCGTGCGCCCTGCTGCTGCCCGCGCCCTCGTGCGCCCTGCTGCTGCCCGCGCCCTCGTGCGCCCTGCTGCTGCCCGCGCCCTCGTGCGCCCTGCTGCTGCCCGCGCCCTCGTGCGCCCTGCTGCTGCCCGCGCCCTCGTGCGCCCTGCTGCTGCCCGCGCCCTCGTGCGCCCTGCTGCTGCCCGCGCCCTCGTGCGCCCTGCTGCTGCCCGCGCCCTCGTGCGCCCTGCTGCTGCCCGCGCCCTCGTGCGCCCTGCTGCTGCCCGCGCCCTCGTGCGCCCTGCTGCTGCCCGCGCCCTCGTGCGCCCTGCTGCTGCCCGCGCCCTCGTGCGCCCTGCTGCTGCCCGCGCCCTCGTGCGCCCTGCTGCTGCCCGCGCCCTCGTGCGCCCTGCTGCTGCCCGCGCCCTCGTGCGCCCTGCTGCTGCCCGCGCCCTCGTGCGCCCTGCTGCTGCCCGCGCCCTCGTGCGCCCTGCTGCTGCCCGCGCCCTCGTGCGCCCTGCTGCTGCCCGCGCCCTCGTGCGCCCTGCTGCTGCCCGCGCCCTCGTGCGCCCTGCTGCTGCCCGCGCCCTCGTGCGCCCTGCTGCTGCCCGCGCCCTCGTGCGCCCTGCTGCTGCCCGCGCCCTCGTGCGCCCTGCTGCTGCCCGCGCCCTCGTGCGCCCTGCTGCTGCCCGCGCCCTCGTGCGCCCTGCTGCTGCCCGCGCCCTCGTGCGCCCTGCTGCTGCCCGCGCCCTCGTGCGCCCTGCTGCTGCCCGCGCCCTCGTGCGCCCTGCTGCTGCCCGCGCCCTCGTGCGCCCTGCTGCTGCCCGCGCCCTCGTGCGCCCTGCTGCTGCCCGCGCCCTCGTGCGCCCTGCTGCTGCCCGCGCCCTCGTGCGCCCTGCTGCTGCCCGCGCCCTCGTGCGCCCTGCGCGCCCTCCCGTGCGCCCTGCTGCTGCCCGCGCCCTCGTGCGCCCTGCTGCTGCCGCGCCCTCGTGCGCCCTGCTGCTGCCCGCGCCCTCGTGCGCCCTGCTGCTGCCCGCGCCCTCGTGCGCCCTGCTGCTGCCCGCGCCCCTCGTGCGCCCTGCTGCTGCCCGCGCCCTCGTGCGCCCTGCTGCTGCCGCGCCCTCGTGCGCCTGCTGCTGCCCGCGCCTCCGTGCGCCCTGCTGCTGCCCGCGCTCCTCGTGCGCCCTGCTGCTGCCCGCGCCCTCGTGCGCCCGCTGCTGCCCGCGCCCTCGTGCGCCCTGCTGCTGCCCGCGCCCTCGTGCGCCCTGCTGCTGCCCGCGCCCTCGTGCGCCCTGCTGCTTGCCCGCTGCCCTCGTGCGCCCTGCTGCTGCCCGCGCCCTCGTGCGCCCTGCTGCTGCCCGGCCTCGCGCCCTCGTCGACCGCGCCCTCGTGCGCCCTGCTGCTGCCCGCGCCCTCGTGCGCCCTGCTGCTCCCCGCGCCCTCGTGCGCCCTGCTGCTCCCCGCGCCCTCGTGCGCCCTGCTGCTCCCCGCGCCCTCGTGCGCCCTGCTGCTGCCCGCGCCCTCGTGCGCCCTGCTGCTGCCCGCGCCCCTCGTGCGCCCTGCTGCTGCCCGCGCCCTCGTGCGCCCTGCTGCTGCCCGCGCCCTCGTGCGCCCTGCTGCTGCCCGCGCCCTCGTGCGCCCTGCTGCTGCCCGCGCCCTCGTGCGCCCTGCTGCTGCCCGCGCCCTCGTGCGCCCTGCTGCTGCCCGCGCCCTCGTGCGCCCTGCTGCTGCCCGCGCCCTCGTGCGCCCTGCTGCCGCCCGCGCCCTCGTGCGCCCTGCTTGCCGCCCGCGCCCTGCTGCTCGCGCCCTCGTGGCCTGCTGCTGCCCGCGCCCTCGTGCGCCCTGCTGCCTGCCCGCGCCCTCGCGTGCGCCCCTGCTGCTGCCCGCGCCCTCGTGCGCCCTGCTGCTGCCCGCGCCCTCGTGCGCCCTGCTGCTGCCCGCGCCCTCGTGCGCCCTGCTGCTGCCCGCGCCCTCGTGCGCCCTGCTGCTGCCCGCGCCCTCGTGCGCCCTGCTGCTGCCCGCGCCCTCGTGCGCCCTGCTGCTGCCCGCGCCCCTCGTGCGCCCTGCTGCTGCCCGCGCCCTCGTGCGCCCTGCTGCTGGCCCGCGCCCCTCGTGCGCCCCTGCTGCTGCCCGCGCCCTCGTGCGCCCTGCTGCTGCCCCGCGCCCTCGTGCGCCCTGCTGCTCGCCCGCGCCCTCGTGCGCCCTGCTGCTGCCCGCGCCCTCGTGCGCCCTGCTGCTGCCCGCGCCCTCGTGCGCCCTGCTGCTGCCCGCGCCCTCGTGCGCCCTGCTGCTGCCCGCGCCCTCGTGCGCCCCTGCTGCTGCCCGCGCCCTCGTGCGCCCTGCTGCTGCCCGCGCCCTCGTGCGCCCTGCTGCTGCCCGCGCCCTCGTGCGCCCTGCTGCTGCCCGCGCCCTCGTGCGCCCTGCTGCTGCCCGCGCCCTCGTGCGCCCTGCTGCTGCCCGCGCCCTCGTGCGCCCTGCTGCCTGCCCGCGCCCTCGTGCGCCCTGCTGCCTGCCCCGCGCCCTCGTGCGCCCTGCTGCTGCCCGCGCCCTCGTGCGCCCTGCTGCTGCCCGCGCCCTCGTGCGCCCTGCTGCTGCCCGCGCCCTCGTGCGCCCTGCTGCTGCCCGCGCCCTCGTGCGCCCTGCTGCTGCCCGCGCCCTCGTGCGCCCTGCTGCTGCCCGCGCCCTCGTGCGCCCTGCTGCTGCCCGCGCCCTCGTGCGCCCTGCTGCTGCCCGCGGCCCTCGTGCGCCCTGCTGCTGCCCGCGCCCTCGTGCGCCCTGCTGCTGCCCGCGCCCTCGTGCGCCCTGCTGCTGCCCGCGCCCTCGTGCGCCCTGCTGCTGCCCGCGCCCTCGTGCGCCCTGCTGCTGCCCGCGCCCTCGTGCGCCCTGCTGCTGCCCGCGCCCTCGTGCGCCCTGCTGCTGCCCGCGCCCTCGTGCGCCCTGCTGCTGCCCGCGCCCTCGTGCGCCCTGCTGCTGCCCGCGCCCTCGTGCGCCCTGCTGCTGCCCGCGCCCTCGTGCGCCCTGCTGCTGCCCGCGCCCTCGTGCGCCCTGCTGCTGCCCGCGCCCTCGTGCGCCCTGCTGCTGCCCGCGCCCTCGTGCGCCCTGCTGCTGCCCGCGCCCTCGTGCGCCCTGCTGCTGCCCGCGCCCTCTGTGCGCCCTGCTGCCGCCCGCGCCCTCGTGCGCCCTGCTGCCGCCCGCGCCCTCGTGCGCCCTGCTGCCGCCCGCGCCCTCGTGCGCCCTGCTGCCGCCCGCGCCCTCGTGCGCCCTGCTGCCGCCCGTGCCCTCGTGCGCCCTGCTGCCGCCCGCGCCCTCGTGCGCCCCTGCTGCCGCCCGCGCCCTCGTGCGCCCTGCTGCCGCCCGCGCCCTCGTGCGCCCTGCTGCTGCCCGCGCCCTCGTGCGCCCTGCTGCCGCCCGCGCCCTCGTGCGCCCTGCTGCCGCCCGCGCCCTCGTGCGCCCTGCTGCCGCCCGCGCCCTCGTGCGCCCTGCTGCTGCCCGCGCCCTCGTGCGCCCTGCTGCTGCCCGCGCCCTCGTGCGCCCTGCTGCTGCCCGCGCCCTCGTGCGCCCTGCTGCTGCCCGCGCCCTCGTGCGCCCTGCTGCTGCCCGCGCCCTCGTGCGCCCTGCTGCTGCCCGCGCCCTCGTGCGCCCTGCTGCTGCCCGCGCCCTCGTGCGCCCTGCTGCTGCCCGCGCCCTCGTGCGCCCTGCTGCTGCCCGCGCCCTCGTGCGCCCTGCGGCTGCCCGCGCCCTCGTGCGCCCTGCGGCTGCCCGCGCCCTCGTGCGCCCTGCTGCTGCCCGCGCCCTCGTGCGCTCTGCTCTGCTCGCCCCCTCGTGCGCTCTGTCTTACCCGCGCCCTCGTGCGCTCTGCTCTGCCCGCGCCCTCGTGCGCTCTGCTGCTGCCCGTGCTCTTGTGTGCTCTGCTCTGCCAATTGCCCTTCGCGGCGGCCCCGTCGACCCGCGCGTCGCTCTGCGGCCCCCTCCCCGCACACCCGAGTTCGCTTTCCGCACAACCGAGTTCGCTTCCTGCACGCTTGTGCTCGCTTCGCGCACACCTGAACTCGCTTCGCGCACACCTTAACTCGCTTACCGCACACCCAGGGTATGGGGGTGGCGGGTATGGGGGTGGCGGGTGTGTGAGCCGTCCCCTCCTCCTCCTCCTCCTCCTCCTCCTCCTCCTCCTCCGTCTCCCATTGCTGCAGCTGCCGCTGAGAGGGGTGGATGTGTGGGAGCCGAGGAGAGTGGCGCTAGGGGGGTGCCGTGGTAGTGGAACTAGGGGTGCAGCAGTGGGTGTGTGAAAGGGGGGTGGGACAGTTGGGGGAGGTTGAGCGGAGGCTGCCGTCCTGTCTCCCGTGTGTCTGCGGCTTCAGCCGTCGCCTCCCATCTCCTCTCCTTTCACAGTTCCTTCCCCTCCTCCTCACTTCGCCTCTACTTTTGCTGCGCCCTACAGGGTGTACCACTTCAGGGGTGTTCTGCTCAATGGCTAATCCTGCATGCACTTAGGGGGTGTGTCAGAATATATCTTATATATATGTCTGTATAAGTGCATGTAGTTCTAGCTGTTGAGTAGTTACCTAGTGTTTTGTGTGGTGGTGCACCACTCCTTGCTGGTTCTCTTCTATTTGTACCTGCTCTTCCATAGTCAAACCATCTCATTCTCTCTTCTTCTTGGCACAACCCTAAAGTTCCTCCTTGGCCTAGGCTACTAAGCCTAGGCCCTAACAAAACCCTAGCCATCACTTCTGCCTACTAAGCCCAGGCCCCCCTGCAGGAACGCATTGGAGACGTCCATGGAGCAGATCTCCATATCGTTGCACACACCAACGTCGAGGAGGGTGCGAAGGGTGGGCGGCTTGGCGGTGGGGGCGTAGGAGAATGGGTAATCTGCAGCCCAAGTCTGGGTTAAACCTTTAGCACAGTAGCGGGCCTTGTAGACCAGATCCTCGCCCGGCAGCTGCTTCACCCGAAAGACCCACTTGCCCTCCACAAGGTTGGCGTTGGCCGAGAGGAAGACATCAATGAAATAGCCATTGCGAACGAATGCACTCCAAAAAGATTGCCGCTATCCACTTGTCTGCATCAGGGCAGGTGATGACCTCTTGACAGATGGAGGGAGTGAAGATGGTGGGGGTGGAGGTAGCGCCAAGGACGGGAAGGCCAAGGAAGTGAAGGAAGATGGAGGCAATGAAAGGAGTGTGGTGCCGAATGTTGAGGAAATCTTCATGGGAGTCCTCAAGCAAATGGATGGAGGCGGGAGGAGGGGCTCCAATGAGTCTGTCTAGGGAGCGGGTGTAGCATGCGAGGGAGGAGGAAAGGGGAGGAGCGGGAAGTTGCTTGGTGCTGCCGCCGCCGCTGCTGCTGCTGCTGCCCCTGCTGCTGACCTGACTGCTGCTGCTGCTGACCCGGCTGCTGCTGCTGCTGCCCCTGCTGATGACTCGGCTGCTGCTGCTGCTGCTGTTGGTCCGGCCGCTGCAGAGAATGGGGAGAGTGAGAGGAGGAGGGAGAGGGGGGCGGGGGCGCAGCTGAGTGGGCCGAGGAGGCGGGTGCGGCGGGGTCGTAGATGTCGGCAGAGGAGGACGGAGGGAGCGGAGCGGCAACAGGGAAGAGGAGAGGAGCGGGAGGGAGGAGAAGTGGGAGGACGCGAGGGGGCGAGAGGGAGGAGGGAGAGGGTCAAGAGGAGGATTGGAGTAGTAGGGAATGGACTTGTTGAAGACGACGTCAATGTTGCGGATGAGGCGGTTGGGGGGAGGGTGGAGGAACAGGTAGCCTAGGGAGTCGCGATTGTGCTCGAGGTAGACGCACTCCAGGGCACGAGGGGCGAGTTTCCCAGCGGCGCAGGAGCGATCGGTCGGTGGGATGAGGACGTAGGACTTGCAACCCCAAACGCGAAGGCCGGCAGCGTTAGGCTTAGCCTTAGACCAGAGTTCCGTGGAGGAGGAGGAGGGATGCTGAGGGTGGGAGCGGAGGTTGATTAAGAGGGCGGCATGATGGAGGGCATAGATCCAAAGGGAAGGAGGGGTGGAGGCGTGAGCAATGAGGCAACGGGCAATTTTGGTGATTTCACGACTCCGACTCTCAGCAATGCCATTGTATTGAGGGGAGTGGGGGAGGGTGGAGGTTTGCTGAATGCCATGAGTTTTGCAGAAGGTGGTAGGGGTGTTGTTGATGAACTCACCCCCATCGTCAAAGTGAAGGCGGCCAATGGGGCGTTTGAAGTGAGTGCGACACTGCTCAGCCCAGTTGATGACCACAGCCGACACCTAGTCTTTGGTGTGAAGGAAAAAGACAGTGGAGTGTTGACTGTTGTCGTCGACGACGACGAGCATGTACCGGAGCCTCTGACGGGAGTGGATGGGATAGGGACCCCATAGATCCATGTGGACAAGGTCAATGGGAGTGGCAGCAAAGGTGGGATGGTTGTGATAGGGGGACCATTTGAGCTTGCCATGAATGCATGATGGGCATGGGGGAGAAGGGGAGGAGAGGAGGGGAGGTAAGGTGGGAGGGAGGCTGTGAAGGAGGCGAGAGGTGACAGTGGTCCGAAGTGCGGCGAAGTGGTGTGGCCGAGTCTGTGATGTAAAATGACTGCTGGGTGGGAGAGTGCAATGGAGGAGGAGGGGGGTGGGCTAGGAGAAGAGGTGGGGAGGGAGGAGGAGGAGGGTGAAGTGGGGGGGGGAGGATACCTGAGGGGGAGGGAGAGGGGGAGGAGGACCGGTGGAAGTAATAGCACGAGTGGTAACATGACAGAAAGAGGGATGGGGTGTGTGGATTGTGTAAAGGTGAGTGCGAGGGCAAAGGGAAATGCGCAGAAGGAAGCAACCCGAGGCTGTGTGGTAGAGATCACAATAGGTAGCAAAATTAGGGTAAATGGCGGTAATACCAATATCTTGAAGCTCTCGATGAGACAGGAGGTTGTTGTGAGGGTAGGAATGTGGAGAATTGTGACCTTACCGGATGGGAAGTAGTGCAAGGGAGGGTGAAAAGGTGAGTGCATGGGATGGAGAAGCTGGAGTCAGCACCATGAACCTGGGTGGGAAGTGGAAGGGGGGTCAGGGTGCCAGCGTCTTTGAGTGCAGTTTTTGTGGCCCCGCTGTCAAGGACAAAGTCCAAGGTGGGGGAGGAAGGAGAGGGAGGTGACACGGGGTACTGGAAAGACGTCTCATTGATAGCAAAGGGATACATGGAAACGACGGATGGTGCAACAGCAACATGACCAAGGAAACTGCCCTAAGAGTCAGGGACACTGGGGGGGCAGAGGGGATGGAACCCCGGGGGGGGGGGGGGGGGGAGCGTGGGAGGCATGAGCGGCCATGACCGCTGTGCCGAAGGTCATCGGCTGCTGTTGCCACTGCGGTGGAAGGTTCTGCGACGGCTGCTACTGCTGGAGGAACTGCTGCTGCAGTGGCTGATGCGGCTGGAGAAACTGCGGCTGCTAAGGCTGGAGAAACAGTGGCTGCTGCTGCAGCGGGAAGTACTGCTGCTGCTACTGCTGCTGAAACTGCTGCAACTGGGAAGGGGGAGATGGGGTGAGCAGGCGGAGGTGAGCGGGGAGGAAGGAGGGAAGGGCGTGAATGTTTACGAGGGAGGGGCGAGGGGTAACAGTGTTCCAGTGAGGAGGGGTACCAGTGTTGCCGCGGTCAAACCAGGCGTCATCGAGCGCCTTGAAGCATGTGGCAGGGGGGTGGTTGGTCTGACCACACGATGTGCCCGCGTGGGGACCATGACAGCCAACGTACGTGCAGGGGGGGAGAGTCCCAGGGCGACCACCACAGCTCACAGCTCCACTGGCCCCAGAGGAACCTCCAGGAGTGGTACCACTAGGACGAGTACCACCACCACCGCCACCACCCCGACCACCACCACCACCTCCACCCCCTCCACTACCCCTTCCGTCGCCGTTGCGACCACCCTGGTTGCGCAGCTGCGTGGCATTGAGGGAGGTGGAGGAGGAAGGAGTGGTGGTGAGGTTGACAATGGGGGTGCGGAGCTTGACCTCCGTGTCAATGATCCACTGAGTCATCTCAGTGAGGCCTCCAAGGGGTTTGCCTCGGTGAAGGCGTGCAGGCAGGACTCGTAATCCGGCGTGAGGTTGAAGAGCACACGATGAATCTGCAGGGGCTCGGGAAGGGCAGCCTCGCGAGCGGCAAGGCGATCGGCTACCTCCTGCATGCGCCCCACGTAGTCGACTGCGTCGTTGCAGGTAACGAGGGTAATGGAGAAGTACTCCTGGAAGAGGACGCCGACGGAGCTGATGTCGCGGCGCTCGAACATAAAATGGAGCTCGGTTTAAATCCGGTGGGCTCGCATCTCACGAGCTTGGAAGCGGCGCATGAGGGCATCGGGGAGTGCACCAAGGAGGATGGTGTAGGCGCGGTTGTCGGTAGCGGCCCAGGCGATGCTATCGGGGGATGTAAGTTGCCATGGAGGTGTTGTAATCCGCGATCAGCGCCAGGCGAGTGGCATGCTCCAACGTTGCAAATTCGTGGTTGAGCACAGCAACGTCATGGTCGGCTTTGCAGATGAGGTATTCGCGGCGGTTGTGGAGGAAGGTGGCGTCAGCAGCAGCCTGAAGCTCGGGGGTAGCGGCCACGTCCAGGTTAGGCTCAAGAGGAGGGGAGCTAGGAGGGGGAGGGAGAGGAGGAGGTTCTCAAGGGTGATTGGGTGCGGTCGGCTGGAGAGCCTGCGGACGGTGGAGGAGAACGTGAAGGACACAGTAGGGTCCAACGAAGGCATCCTGAAGGACGCGGCGAATGCTGCCGACAAGCGAGTGCCAGTTGATGGCAGAGCAATCTGCAGCAAGCTGCAGCTTGTCGACCGAGGAGACGTCGATGGCAGGGGGGAGAGGGGCAGGAGGGGTGGTAGCCATGAGGGGCGGCGGCGGGTGGACCCGAAGCAGCCAAGGAGGAGACGACGGCGGGAGGACCCACGGCGGTCAAGGGGGTGGCGACGGGCGGGGGGGTGGGGGGGGTGGGGGGAGAGAGAAGGAGGATGCGATGGTGCGGCTGCGGCTGCTGCTGCTGCCGCGGACACCGCTGCTGCCGCTTCTGCCGCCGCTGCCGCGGACACCGCTGCTGCCGCTTCTGCTGCCGCTGCCACTTCTGCCTCCGTTGCCGCTGCTGCCGCTGCGGCTGCTGCTGCCGGTGCTGCCGCTGTTGCTGCTGCCGCTGTTGCTGCTGCTGCCGCGGATGCTGCTGCTGTCGCTGGTGACGCTGCTGCCACTGCGCTGCTGCTGCCGCAGCTAAAATGGTGGAGAGAGAGCGGTGAGGGGGGGGGGGGGGAGGGTGTAGTGGTGGCGGAATATGCAGAGGGCGACGGGGTCGCGGTGGCGGGATGGGCAGGCGGCGACGATGTGGTCGCGGCGGCGGAAACCGCGGGCGGTGACGGTGGGGGGGGGGGGGTGTAATCGTGGTGGTGGGATGCGCAGGCGGTGACACGCAGTCGCAGTCGCGGCGGCGGGAATCAGAGGCGGCGACGGTGCATTCGCGGCGGCGAAAATCGCGGGCGACGGTGGTGCAGTCACGGCGGCGGAAATTGCGGGCGACTGCGGTGGTGTCGCGGCGCCCGGACGTGCAGGCGACAACGAGGCAATCGCGGTGGTTGGATGTGCAGGCGGCGGGACGGGCAGGCGACGACGCGAAGTCGCGGCGGCTAGTACAGCAGGCGGCGACGACGTGGTCACGGCGGCGGGACGGGCGGGCAACGACGAGAAGGTCGCGGCGGCGGGAGGGCCAGGCGGCGACAGCGAGGTCGCGGCGGCTGGAAGGGCAAGCGGCGACGAAAAGGTCGCGGCAGCTGGGAGGGCAGGCGGCGACGGAAAGGTCGCGGCAGCGGGATCAGAGGGCGGCGACGTAGCTGTCGCGGCCGTGGGCAGAGAGGCACGGGCGGCGAAATCTGCAGGATGCAGCGGCGAAATCCGCGGCGGAATCACGGCGGTGGAAATTGCGGAGAGGGGGGAGGAAGGGGGCCGCGGCGGAAAGGCACGAGGGGCGGCAGGGAGGCCGCGGCGGGAAAGCGCCGAGATGGGGAGGGGGGGGAGGACGACGGCGACGGTGATGTCGCGGCGTGAGGGAAGCGTATGATGGGCCCTTGGAAAACAAAAAACTGGAGGGGGGAGGTAAGGCCTTAGAAAAACTTAGCTCTATATCATGTGAAGATTGCAAACTGAATGATTTGCTTCATTAGGGAACAAGAGGGCATACATAGGATGCAAAAGGAGCTTGGAAGGAAAGGGGGAAAGTTGGGTGGTTGGGCAGTCCCTATGGCAACTTGCAAGGAGGGGGCACCCAACTTGCAACAAGGACCATGTGGGTTGCAAGGAGGGGGCACCCAACTTGTGGGTTGAAAAGAGGGGGTACCTAACTTGCACTTGGGGGCTCCAACACTTGTGGGTTGGATTGGCACCCCAACTTGCAATTCTACACCCCAAAGTCCGGTATAAATCTACAAAGCAAGCTACACTCAAAGTTGGGTGTAGCCCCAAGCCCTTTTATACTGAGCATGCTATACATACATTTCTAACAGACAGTTCGCACCAAGCACACAAACAAAAATAGAGTACAAAGCAAGAAATGGAAAAATACCTCGATGCTGTGTGATTCACTCCTTGGCCGTCAGCTAGGTGTTAATAACGCGACATGTCATTGTCAATTTTCCTGCATACGAGAGGTTTCTGACCTACACGGACGCTGGGCACATCTTGCAACGTTCTCTCGGGAGCCTTTGTCAGGTCTCATCACACTACACACTCCGTCCCCCCAGGTAAATGCGGCTTGTCGAGCTGCTGTCTCCTACTTGTGTCGGCCGCTTACCTGCCCATTACTCCTATAGCACCACCAACTTGGACAACCTACCCTCCCACGTCTCCTTCAGATGTCTAGGCCCGGTCTTATTTTAGGTCTCGCGTTCCTACTTCCTGCTCTCTCCTTGCGTCGAGGGTTGGTAGCGCTCCTCCCTTTCGCCTGCAACTATACCTCTTCAGACCTTGCACATGAACGTCTGGGCCACGCAGTGTGAGGTTCCTCCTTGTTGTAGACGACTTCTCCTCTACACCATGGTGTTACCCTTGTAGAAAAAGGCCCATATGCCTGATGCTTTGATCCCGTGGTTACTGGCCACTAGCGCCTAGCGCTCATCTGATGTGCTTTGTGTACACTCCAACCGTAGGGATAAATTCCACTCTCATATTTTTGCCTAGTGTTGTCTTACGCAAAGCATCACCCAGTCTTTTCACGCTTCCGGGCTTTCCACAAAAGAATCGGATTGCTGACCGCCGCAAAGGCTTGGTCAGATAAATCGCCCGTACCTCCATGGACCATGCTTGTGCACCCTTTGCGGTTTGCTACGTCGCGCACCCTTTGAACCTTTGGCCGCGTGTGTCGCGCCTGGAGGTTTCCCCGACCCCTGGTTCATCACCCGTCCCCCCACTGAGGTCTCACCTTACTCCTCCTCCCTTGGTAGCACGTATGGTGTCGTCTCCTTGACCACGGTCTCTTACATCCTCCTCAGAGTCGATGCAGCAGCCTTCGGCGCTACCGCGGCAGGTTGCAGTGAATCTTGGGGGTGCTGATGCTGAGGTGCTGGTCCCGGAGTTGCTGGTTATGGGGGAGCTGCCATTGGGGGTGCTGGCGCTGGAGGTGTTGGAGCTGAAGGTACTGGCACTGTAGGTGCGTGCTAGTTTTTGGGGTGCTGGAGCTGGAGGTGAAAATTAGGGTGTGCTAGAGCTAGCGGTGCTATTTCTGGGGGTGCAGCAGCTGGAGGTAATGGAGCTTGAGGTCCTGGCACTGGAGGTGGTTTTAGGGGTGCTAGAGGTGGAGGTGCTGATTCTGGGGGCGGCACCTACCCAAGTCGTCCCTCGTTACCTGGCGAGGTTACAGCTTCATCAGTAGCTGCAGCCACATCAGCCACAGCTACAGACACAGTAGTAACGGTCATCGCCACATATGAGTGGCCTTCGTCTCCTTGGTCGTCCCCTTCCTTTGATGGCCACTCTCCGCCTTTGCTTGAATACAATACCCTGATTTCTCTTGCTGATGCGTCTCCGACACATTCTCCCCCATTGCCTTCTTCTCCGTCTCTTGCATTTACTCCACACCACTGTGGTTCCCCGCGGGCTCGTTTTTCGTCTCCTTTTCCTGACCTCCACTCCTTGTCCCTCATCATATCATGCCTCCTTCTCTTTTTCCTTTACCTCCTTTGTCGTCTCGCGTGTCCTCTTCTCTCTCGTGACTGGCCCTACTACCACTCTGTCATCTATCTTAGCCCTACGGAGGACAGTCAGACGCTGACTCAGCAACAAGACTAGCAGCGTAGTCTAGACGACAGCGAGCAGCAAAGTCGACGAGCTCAGCGACAAGGGCAGACGCAGCAGTGGACTCAAACGAGGGGTCAGTGACGACAGTAGCAAGGAGACGCGTGACAGTAGGACTGGCAGCACGAAGAGAGTCCGACTCAGGGTCGGCAAGCGCAGGAAGAGAGGACTCAGGAGGAGAAGGCAAAGGGGCACGCAGAGGAGCAGTGGACGGACGCAGAGACATCCGGTGCGTGCCAGGGACAGGAGGAAGACGCTGACGCGAACCGCGACCACTAGTGCGAGCAGCACGAACAGGCGACGCAGGACGAGACGCAGGCTCACGACGCTCAGCAAGACCTCCAGTAGGACCAGTGTAAGGAGAGGGAGCAGGCAGTGGAGAGGAAGGCTCCAACAGGGACTGCGACTGGACAGGCTGTGGACACTCTACCGGAGGAGAAAGACCAAGAACCTGCTGCAGGAGCGGAACGAAGTACGGCCCAGGCCGCGCGGCAACTCCAGACTCAGCAGGTAGAGCACCAGCACCCTCAGCGACAGCACCAGCGCCACCAGCACCTCCAGCAGCAGGACCTCCAGCAGCACCAGCAGCAGAACCACCGCCAGGACAGACAGGAGCTGTCTCAGCACCAACACCCTCAGCGGCTCCAGCTCCAGTAGGACCCGCAGGCCCAGCAGCTCCGGGACCGGTAGGACCAGCACCCTCGACGGTCGAA